GACCCCCCGGACCCTGCCTGGGACAGTCCCAGCGGCTCCGGAGGGCCCCGGGTCGCCGAGCCCCGCCTCGGAATATGTCCGAGCGGCCTCGGCGATCCCGTCCTCTCGCCCGGAGGAGCACGGCAGGGCCCAGACCTCGGAAATGTCCGAGCGGCCCCCGCCGGCTCAACCGGGTCGGGCCACCGGGCCCCGCCTCGGAATACGTCCGAGCGGCCCCGGCGACCCACTCTCGCGATAGGGCGAGTCAACCCCCGTGCCAGGACGCGAGTCCCCAGAGGGACACCGTCCCCAGACACAGGGGTTTTTGACCCGCCCTCCGTCTCTGGCCGACCCGTCGGCCTGGCCGTATCCGGCCTAGTGGGCTCTTAGTTCGGCGAGCCTCCTGGAGTCATCCGGGGGGCCGGCCTTAAGCCCCCTCACCACGACAAGGTGGCCCACACGAGGGGGGTTATACCCGCACTAGACATCCAGCGTTTGGCTCTTATTGCCCCCCCCAGCTCAACCAAAAAAAAATATAAAGTAATGTCACTAACCTTTTTGCTTTGCTCCACAAATCTGCCGTTGTCGCAACTAATTCTACTTCGGTCAATTTTTTTTCAAGATTAGCTTTCATTTCATGATAGACTTCACAAACTGTGTCTCTTAATGTTTTTCTACACATTATACGAATATGTGAAGGAAGTCCAACTCTAAGTAAATTGATGAATGCTGGACTGTCTATAGTAGAAAGAGGTTGAGTATCTTCAACAATGAAGCGCAATATCGCTTTATCTAAGGTTTTTTGAGTAACTGAGCTTCCAGAGCCCCATCTCTCCAATTTTTGACATTTGTTTGGAACATTATTCATAGGATTTTCACTTGAACGTTTGTTTAATAAGTTCAGTTTTGCTTTATCTAGATTCTCCAACAAATGTGAATGTTTTGCTATTAATTTAATTTCATTTATTAATTTCACACACATACGTATATTGTACAGTCGGGAGCAATGAGGTTGCGACACTTTTTTTTTGGATGAGTTTACGAATGCGCAAAAAAATTCAGGATGCGAATCCCTGTCCGCGCTCATGCGCGGTGAGTGATCATGGTGCTGTCAAATTTGTGTATACAATGTGTAACATAAATGTATGTGCGGCGGCAAATCCATAATAAATAACATGATTATTCAGTTGATTCGCGTTAACTCGCTGTCGGATCAGATCTTTCGCCGGCTTGTCTCTTGGTTAAACTAATGAATAATGTGGGATGATTTCTAAATACAAAATCAAATAAATATAATAAATATAATTTATAAATAAATAAATAAATAGATTTAAATTAATTTAAATAAATTAAGTAAATAAATAAATTTAAATGAAATAAATATAGAAAGAAATGACATTAATTTAATAAATATATGTATAAAATGACCATAATACCTTGTCTTCACTAATATTTTTTTAAATTTGTGAATCAAATATCCGACGGCGATTTAGTAGAAAATTTATTGATTTAAAAACTTTTCATACATAATTATATATAAATGGCTGTATGGGGGTAATTACGCCAAATTGTGTATGAGATATATATCCATACCATAACTGTATTGTATAATTCTATGCAATTATATCTATATATAAAAAACACTTAAGAGAGATCGGAGAAAACTAACAATTCTTGTATAGCTTGCACTAGCTTCTCGGCCAATACAAAATACTTAAACCATTAGGTATTTTCGGATTATTCAATTGATCCGTGTCAACTCGCTGTCGGATCAGGGGAGCGATCACGTGCACCGATCGAATTCGAATTCGAGAAGGAATATGCCATCCGATACCACTCTTCGTACATGATCAATCTATGGTCTGAGGGAAACTATCCTATAATAAATAAGCATGAACCATGAAACCTGTAGAGTAGAAACGTATGAGAAGTCGACCGATCGAATTCGATTGTGTACGTGATCGCTCCCCTGATCTTTCGCCGGCTTGCCACTTGCTTATACTAACTTATACTCTCTGGTATGTAGAAATCATCCCACGTATTTTGTAATGGCCGAGAAGCTAGTGCAAGCTATACAAGAATTGTTAGTTTTCTCCGATCTCTCTTAAATATTTTTTATATATAGATATAATCGCATAGAATTATACAATACAGTTATGGTATGGATATATATCTCATACACAATTTGGCGTAATTACCCCCATACAGCCCTTTATATATAATTATGTGACTTCCGGTTGCGAGGTAAGAGCGAGTAGAGGTGCTTGACAGCGGAGAGTGAGATTGGAGAGAGAGAGATAAGAGAAAGGCTGCAGAAAAATTCCCGAAAGGGAGACTATGTTGCAGGAAAGCGAGGCTAACAATTCGCATCCATCGAATACAGGTGGGTGTAAGAGGAGGAGACAGGTGAACAGGAGACACTGAGGCAACGTAACCTAAAAGAGCACGAGGCAGGACGGAGAGACACGTGGAGAGCAGCGCAACGACATCGCGCAGCGCAGAGGGAAGTGATGCAGGCAGCAGTGCTCTCAGGAGCGTAGCGAGGGAAGGTGGAGACAGGGCACGGAGGGCAAGTACCGGAGGGGATGGAAGAGGAGTTACACACGACAGAGGTATTGACAGGGAAAGGAAAAGAAGGCAACGAGGGGGGAGAGAGTCAGGGAGTGAAGGGACCGAGGGATAACAAGGAGAAGAAGGAGAGTGCGAGACAGACGACGTCGGCAAATACAACGCCAAAGGCTAGAGGGAGACCGACGAAGGCAGTGGCCCAGATAAAAGAGAGAGAGAGAGCAATAAGCGAAGGAAGACTGCGGGAGTACCTGGAGAAGAAGAGAAAGGGACAAGAGGTGGAGTGCAGCGAGGAGGTAAAGGAGGAGAGGAAGCACATGCTGAAGAGAAGTCAGAAGACCAGAAGGGCACCAACAAAAGAGGAGTTGAAAGAAGAGGATAAAGAGAAAAACAGGACGGAAGGAGGAGAGGAAAAAGGCATAGACACAGGAGACGAGGAAAAGAAAGAAGAGGATAGGATGGAGGAGAAGAGCGACAGGGAAGTACTACTGAGGATTTGCGAGGAATTAAGAGAGATGAAGACAGAGGCGGCAAAAAACAGAGTAGAGGAGAAGAAAGAAAGAGAAGAGGAGATGGAGACGTTGAAAAAAGAGATAAAACGAATAGAAGACAAAAGAGAACAAGAAGTGAAGGAGATAAAAGAAAAGATGGAGACAGTTAAGACGGTGTTCAAGGAGACAGTACAAATGCTGGAGGAGAAAATAAAAAACCTGGAAAGAGAGGTAGGGGACAGAAGAGTGGAGGAGGCAGTAGGAGAAGGGAAAAAGGAGGAAGTGACGAGCTGGATGAGAACATTGGAAAAGAAGATAGAAGAAAGAAGAGAGGTGAACAAAGTGGTGGAAGAGAAAAGGTTAAGTGACATTGAGGACAAATTAGAGGCGAGAGAGAGGCTAGATAGGAGAAATAATATTATAATAAAGGGATTAGAATTAGAAAGGGGAGGAGAAGCCAGAGGTAAGGTGAAAGAGTTTCTCAGAATGCAGTTCGGAGTAAAGGAGGAAGCGATAGAAGGGGTAAAGGTGGTAGGAAGGGAAACGAGAATGATATGGGTGAGAATAAGGAGCAGAGAGGAGAAGGAAGAAATAATGAGTAAGAAGAGTAGGCTAGGAAAGGAGATTTATATAGAGAACGATCTGACATGGAAGGAGAGGGTGTTGCAGAGGAAAATAGGAGGAATAGCAAGGGGGGGAAAGAGCAAAAGGGAAAAGAGTGAAAGTGGTATACAGGGGAATGATAGTAGACGGGAAGAGATACGAATGGAGTGAGGAGTTAGGGGAGATGAAGGAAAGAATGGGTTTTTAGAAGCGAGAGAGATAAGGATGAGTGAGTGTAAAGCCAATGAGGTGGTGGATGGCATGTGTGTGTGCGAGAAAGATAACAAAGGTAAAGGAGAGGGGAGAAGGGGCAGAGGGAAGGGGGAGGAGGGAGAGGGGAGGGAGAGGTTGGAGGAAGAAGGAGAGAGGAACATAAAGATAGGGTTCTGGAATGTAGCGGGGGTAAGAAGAAAGGACGAGGATTTCTGGGAGGAGGTAGAGAAGTGGGACTTGATAGGTTTGACGGAGACGTGGGTGGAAGAGAAGGACTGGGATAAGATAAAGAGGAGGTTACCAGTTGGTTTCAGGTGGAGGCAACAAGCGGCAAAAAGATGTCAGAGGAAAGGAAGAGCGAAGGGAGGGATTATAACAGGGGTTAGAAAGGAGATAGAAGAAGTGAAGGGGGGAGAGGGAGGGACAGAAGTAGTAGGAGAGAAGGAAGGGCTGATGAGTAGGACGGTGAGGATAGACGGAGATATTTGGAAGATGGTAACGGTGTACATAAATGGGGACATGGAAGAGAAATGCAGAGAAATTAGAGAAATAATAGGAAACGAGAAGGAAGACATAAGGGTAGTGGTAGGAGGGGATTTCAATGCAAGGACAGGGACAAAAGGAGCAATGGTAAGGGGAAGCGAGGAAGAGGAGGGGGTGAGAAAGTCGAGGGACGACAAAATAGACAAAAACGGAAGGAAACTGATAGAGGTGGTGGAGGAGGAAGGCTGGGGGATATTGAATGGAGAGACGGAGGGGGATGAGGACGGGGAGTACACATTCGTAGGGAACAGGGGGGAGTCAGTAATAGACTACGCAATAGTGAACTGTAGAATGAGGGAAAAGGTGAAGAAGATGAGAATAGGGATGAGAACAGACTCAGATCACTTGCCGGTAATAGTAGAGGTAGAAGCAGAGGGAGTTGTTAGGGAAAGGAGGAAAGGCACAGAGAGGGAAGTTATGGACTGGTCGAGGGAAGGCGCGGAGGAGTATAGAAAAAATATAGAGGAGGAGAATATAGAGGAAGAAGGAAGTACGGAGGAGGTATTCCAAAGCATTAGGGAAGGGGTAAGAAAAGCAGTAAAAATGAAAAGGGTGAAGGTAGGAACGGGTGGAGAGAAGGGAAGATGGTGGGACACAGATTGTAGGAAAATGAAAAGAGAAGAAGAAAAAGCTTTAGAGAGTGGAGAAAGGGGAAGGGAAGCAAGAAAGAATATAGTGATAGGAAGAAGGATATGAAAGAATATGTGACAGGAAGAAAGAGGAAGAGAAAGATAAATTTATTAGGGAGGCAATGGAAGCAAGGACAGAAAGTGAGATCTGGAGGATAATCAACAGAGAGAGAAAAACATGGAAGGGGGTGAACGAAGAGATTAGGATAGAAGAATGGGAGGAGCATTTTATGAGACAGATGGGGGGAACGAAAGAGAAGCCAGAGAGCAAGGTAGGAAAGAGAGAGGAAGAGGAGGCAGGAGGGGGAGAGGAAGAGACAGAGGAGGTAGAAGATATTAGCATAGACGAGGTAATAAGCGCGGTAAAGAGGTCGAAAGCAGGAAAGGCAGCGGGATCAGACGGCCTTCCGAACGAGGTATGGAAAGAAGGGGGGGCAAACTGTTAGGGGTGATAAGTAGGCTTTGCAACAGGATATGGAAGGGGGAAAAGATACCAAGGATATGGGAAGAAGGGATAATAGTGCCAATCAGGAAAAATGGGGAAGGTAGAAAAACAGAAGAGTATAGGGGGATAACATTAATGTCGACTATTTATAAAATATATGCACAGGTGATAACTAGGAGGCTGGAAAGGGAAGCAGAGAGAGAGGGGATGGTACCGGAAAATCAGGCGGGTTTTAGAAAAGGTAAAGGGACGATGCACAGTGGGCCAATTCCCGAAAAACGCGGACAAAAATGAAAAAAGTGAAGTTCGGAATTTTGACCTTAGTATTCCAAAATCCCATATAGGGGGCACCACTGCACCTCGGTGCAAACCGACAGTCAGTTTTGCCGTCTGTATAACGTATGAGAGCAGTTCAAACTGAGTCAACTGGGTAACGGTCTCGCCCGCGTGCTCTCGTGGTTTGTCTGTAACTTTTGTTCAAACGTGTTGTTTCGCAATCCAGTGTGATGGAAGGTGAAAATGAAGGTAAGTAATCATCATCCATACGTGGTTAATCGTTATTTAAATTTTTAAGGGGAGTTAATATTGAAGAGAAATATTTCGTTCTTTATTTCTTTTGCTTATAAAAAATAGTTGAGAATTTGATCGAATTGGATGGTCTGTCTT